ACTGGCCTTGGAGGTGGCTGGCAAATATGTCTATTCCTTTCAATGCCTCGAATACTGTCAAGATTTTATTTACTACCGTCGTTCTTTTTGTCTTTTTTTGCTTTTGCATATTCAAAAACCGTGACCCAAAACTAGTATCTGTGTAGACGACTGATATTATATATCATCAGTATATGTCATATATCGTGTTTTTAACGGTCTTTAACGGTTGGACAGGTACCAAAAATCGATTGCTTTTCCCTCGATGATAAGAATTGGATATTWTTATCGCAAGCTGTATGGCGGGTAATTGTCACGCTAGACCACAAGGACTGATGAAAAGGTATTGATCGTTAGCGCATGCCCTATCCGGCCCTCTTGGAGATAAAACACTTTACTTAGAGAAAATAGCGTATTAAMCATAGCCCCCCAAAAGCTTTGTCAGCCAGGGCAAATACGCAGATGGCGCTCGAGGTATTTAGGGTGATCTTGCCTCTGACTCGCGAAATAACACCTACATTTATGACAGATTTACGACTTCAGGAAATAAAACCTCGTAGTCTATCCTTCCGTTACTAWCGATATTCCTTAAACTCGTCTGGTCGGCATTATTGGCGTTATCGCAGTTATGCAGCGTCGATACAGTGGTATAGTTATTAGTTTCGCGATTGGTTTTTATCGAGTGCGGCACTGAAAAAGATAAAACCACTAACTTGAGTGATAACCGCGACGGGAACTGGGTGTCRTCGGTTAGCTGTTTTTAGCGTACCGCATCCATGTGTGGCATATAGATCTACCACCCCCTATATACATCTTTATCGATGTAAATGAAACTAGATATTCGTAGCCCACAAACAGCATATTTGCAATTAAGTTTAATATTAAGTGAAGAATAAAGCGGCGCTTTGTCACGTGACATTAAGATGAATTCCTTGTCACGTGTCCTAAAAAGCTAAGTATCTATTTGTTTAGTGGAAACAGACACGCAACATGTTCTGTGATCACAGATAGTTAATATATAGTAAACGAGGTGTATCTTTCTCTCTAATACGTCAAACCAGTAGCTCAACATCTTCAAACACGGCTACGGTATTTTGTTTTGTATACTTATCTTTATTTATACAAGAGAATTTTTAGAAGTTAATAAATGGAATCACGATATATCTTTATTTACCGGTACTGGTTATCAGAAAGTGAATCCTAAGTTTTCTGTGTCAATGATAGTATTAGATGCATGCAGCAATCCAGGCGCGTGTTCCATGCCTCATTTATTGAGAAAAATATACGGATTCAGACTTGAKTCATTTAATATATTTGCACTTTATTCGCGTGTCATTGTTGATTTTAATTGGCCAACGACACAGATTGTCACGGTATGTAGTCATGGACACCAGTCGTTGCCAATAAGAATTATTTTCAATCTTGTATTTTATCTGTGTTCTGTTCTGAATACTGAATATCAGTTCACACATAAAAACGGCTGAATTGGGCAGTTTGAACTGGCAACCGGCAATACAGAGCAGAGGAGTAGACATAGTCTGCAACATCACTAAGGTAAAACTTTCCTCATAATCAAGATGGGAATTCTTCCCTCATGGATAAATTAGGTACGAGAGCAGCTTAACAAATAATACAAATTTTTTAATAAAGGTCGATAGAGAGTGCGTTTCTGGTGGGTAATTCCCATGACAGAGAAAAAAAGGAATTTCCTCTATCAAACATAGATAGCTCATGATAGCAGGCTTGCTGCATGTCGGTCAGGCGGTATGAAAAGAGTGGTTAACACAAGGTGTYACATACCTTCACCTAAAGTGAATGAAATAAATAGATATTTTTTTCCATCCCTCCTCTTCTCGTGCAACAAACTTACCATAATTACATAAAGCATCTATTCAGCGCTACTCAGTAGTTCTTTGATTTTTTATTGAGAACTTGCAGTAAACAATAAGAAACGTTAGACTTTTTACACCTCGGGTATTATCATGATACAAATTTAGTCACTCGATCTGAACACTGTAGTTTTGATATCTTTTCGAACTACCATAAACTSATTAAAAGTACAAATAAAACATGTATGCCTGATAGATTTAACCACTTTTTTGGTCTAGTGTTATCTGGTCAATTTGGTAAGACGCGTTGAATTCACTTGGAATATATTAATGGTGTTAAGTGTTTATCAAGTTTTTTTATCGGCTATCTATTAAGTTTTCACAACTGAGAAATCTCACGCGAAGTAAATTTTATATTAGAATGACGAGCATGCTCCCTATGGTGTCATGACAACCAACATTATTCTTACCCATGCAAACTAAGTGTGACCTTCTGTCCACCAACGCAGTACTATAAAGTGCGCGGCTTGAATCTTGTGACGGTAAATGGRTCATAAAACTCTCAACTGCACTCATCGAGAAAAGAACCGACTATAAATCCATTAATCAGTTTTTATGGTAAAATATTCCATACAAGCTGGTAGGGCTTCTTTCCTGATCGGCCCATCTATTCAGTCCTCTAACGGTTATCGATCATCTCCTGGACTCAGTGTAGAACGCACTGAACATCATTCAGTATGTCACAGTAATATTAGCAAACAACTGAACGACACAAATCCATAAAACCGGAACTGAGTGAGCTGCAGCCTGAGGATGAGTTAAAATCAGAATGGCTGGTGCTGGGATTTACCTACATCAGACTTAAAAGTAAAAAAACATTTCAAAAACTAATGATGATGATGAAGAATAAAGTGACTGAATATGAAAAGTAAAGATATATAATTTTAGATTTGATAGAGCCCAGTCACTAGCTCATGTACTGATCTTCTATAAAAAGTCCTTTATTTCTCTTTCGACATCTTCTTACGTTTTTGTTTTTGTTTTTGTTTTTTGTTTTTTGTTGTTTTTTTTTTGTTTTTTTGTTTTGTTTTGTTTTGTTTTTGTTTTTTTTTGTTTTTTTTGCTCTCTTTTTCTCCTTTTCGTTGATCATTTTCAGTTGCAATGGAATTCTGTCATGTCAAAGTCCTTCGTCATCAGACCATTGAAGTCGCTATGGTAACATCCCACGCATGACCCTTTCTTTTCAACGGAACAAAAGAAGCCAAATACCTAAACCGTTTTGCTTGTCAAAGTATGATAGTTTTAATTAAGTTTGTTATTTGTTAGTAGTCTTCGTTATTTGTGAAACTTGGCAGAAAAAATAAACATTCATAAGACTTAGGATTGATATTCAACCACGGATAAAATTACTGCAAACTAGGAGTAGGTTGGGAAGGCTGCCGGGCCGTCCCACGGTGAAGCGCGCTGAGACATGATCGATGATGCCAACTCCTTTGCCCTGCAACCTATCAACTGAAGCAAGTATTTGAAGGTCTTTCTRACCTTCCTATACTGGATTACGTATTCAAATTCACCTTGTTTATTATCAATCTTTCTTTTCCTCCTTATGCGAACAGCTCATACCCTCAGCGATGCACTAAAGCTGATACCAAAGGTTTATTAAAGTCAGGTAATATAATCAACTGGCAAACCAACCACCGTGTGAACGGCAATTATAACCTCATTTACACTGAGTTGGGATTCTATCCCACCCTAAGAGCAAGCGGTGAATCACAGTGACTCCAGTAGCATGAGGGGAGGAAAGCTCACACAACCAGCTACAGGCCCTGTAAGTCAGGAGGGAAAAAAACGTGTTTAAAAAGAAAGCGGCGGTTCTTGATAGCTTATCTAAATAAGTAGTAGTTTAGGAATGTTTCCATGTTTCAATGGTCATTTCTTCGTTATTAGACTTTATTTAACATGTTATTATCAGACGTTCCAAGAAACGAAATCATTATCCCTGCGGCTTGCGTTTTTATACTAAAAGATTAAAACTACTGTAGTACTATTGGTCTGTGTGTATACATTAGCTAAGCATTACATAGATCGATCTGGACATATGTTGCTTCGCTTCTATAAAGTTTGGAATTTGGCCCTCATCTTGACCTTGTCTTTCGATTGTATCCGTAAACCACTCCGACCTGAGATCATGATATTTTAAGGGATAGTTGTAAATTGAATCTCTACATATTTCAGTGTGGTATTGAAAAGAGAAAATTGAAATTCTTTAAGAAACATTCGCATAAAGAGCTCAGGATATATTAAAACTAATATCGCATTAATACCCTGCTCGAGTCATTTAGCGTGTACATTAAAATCGCATTGAATTTGGCAATTACTTCTCCTTACTTGTATTTTTTTAATGACTATGCCAGTTATTTTTCGATAATCTGCAAGGAAACGTGCGCATTTGCACGGTCTGTATAGGTCGATGCTGGTGGCTCAGTACAGCTACAAGGTCAGTTTTCTCTTTATACTAAACTTTCATCACCATCTCGGATGCTTCAGTATCTAATCCTTCTTCAGTCAACTGTTTTCATAATAGCGCGCTAGTCGAGGTCTACATTCCCTTGGTTTTGCTCTTTACTGAGAGACTAGATTAGACTGCCCCAAGCTATATAGACTGTCTACTGGCCTCTGCCCTTAGAAAAGAAGAACAATTCTTTGAAACCCTGCGGCAAAACATATTTTTTAAAGCTGCCTAATTCCTGTGAACGTAGCATCCATAAATGAGCTTTGTTCCTGGAGACTTTGTTGTAGTTTAACTAATATAATTGCAGTCTATTTCAAATAAAAAACAAACCCCGCAGTAACAAGTTATTCTTTGATTTGTTTGTTGAAAGAGGAACACCTCACGCCCTCCATCCGACAGCAGTAACGCAGACATAGGCGCTGCGCAACGGAAATGAGAGTTCAAAATTCTTTGCGATGACTCACATTCTCACAAACTCATGAATTTTCATGTGCTTACAAAGGGATTTAGGCTTAACATGTTAGACAAATGATTTACTTCAAACAATAAATGAAATTCAAAGATATGCTTGTTTGCCGGTGATAACAAGGATCTTCATTCAATAAGACTGATCACGTGATACGTTAAGCTCCACCCATCGAGGATTATAAGTAATGATTGACATGTGGCGACCTGCGGGCTTCTTTTCCGGTTGTTCTTTTATTCGACATGATTTGCATAAAATAAGTACAACGTTAAAAAGAAAAATACAGTTTAAAATTGTCCTAAATCGGTGATGTTTTGATTTTAAACACAGGGGAAACAGCTGTACAACATTTTGGCTCGCCTAGAACAGAAGCCAAGGAAAAAATACTATTAATTTGACTTGAATGCAGAATGTGATTCTTCTCGGTAATTTAAACAAACGCTTGACAATGCAACGCTTCAACGGCTCATTTACTAAAGGAGAGCTTATACTGCAGTAAATATGACCAGGAATACCATCCTACATCTCGATTCTTTGTTTTAAATATGTCTTCAGCTTGTTGTAACCAAACCCATGGACGTATAAGCTATGGGTAGTCAGGGAAAGTCGAGACTGCGAACAAGGCGATTGTGGAGAACAACATGGACACACACGATTCCTGCATGGTTACTATTCTCTTACTATTTTTCGAGCATTTTCTGGCTTTGTGGGGCTGTTACGACGTTCCACGTACTAGAAGAACAACCACAAGGAGTTATAGTAGGTAATATAACCGTAAATAATGGATTTACATATTCGTTTGACGGGAATCCTACTCGCTTTGCAATCGATTCACAAACTGGGGTAATAACAACAACTGTTAAAATTGATCGAGAAAATTTACAAGTGAACCCTATAAGTTTAACGATACGCTCAACAGACCCTAAAAGGCAACTTTTAAGCGTACAAGTACAAGTAGAGGATATAAATGACAACACACCATCGTTTCCAGCGCCAGCGTTTTCATTTCCAGTACTTGAAACCACAGCAGTAGGGATCGAGTTCCCGATCAACACAGCAACAGATCCAGATCTAGGAGAAAACGGGACCATTGACTACACGATTGTTTCTGGTAATAATGCAGGTAAATTCCGTCTGGGAACTAGTCCAAGTATCTGCACACGTTCAGAGTTGTGCATCGTGACCAACAATAGCCTAGATCGAGAAGATGTTGACTTTTATCAGCTAAATATATCAGCAAGAGACAGAGGGATTCCTTCGCTTGTTGGCTATTATTTAGTAAATATTACAATATTAGACTACAATGACAATCCACCGGTCTTTACTTTATCTGTATATGATGCATCAGTCGCTGAAAATACTTTGCCTGGTCATAGTATATTGAGAGTCATAGCTAATGATAAAGACATTGGGTTAAATGGAGAGGTTAGATACTTCATTGAAAAAGATGCTGCTAAATCAGATGAAATCTTTGATATAAATGAGGCAACAGGCATTATAAGAACTAAAAGTACTTTGGATTATGAAACTAAACCATACTTTACATTCAAGGTCATTGGAAGTGATAGGGGACAGCCTAAAATAAGTTCATCTGCCAGTGTCAATATTAACATTCTTGACGAAAATGATAATGCACCATATTTTAACTTGGTCAAGTACTTTCCAACTGGAAGCTCAAGGGCACTAGTACCAGAGAACACCCAAGTTCCAAAGATTGTAGCATTTATTAGGGTGAGTGATGATGATTCAGGTGTTAATGGAGAAGTTCAACTGCAAATCACCAAAGGAAATGAACTTGGACATTTTGTAATTGAAAGATATCCAGCTAGCCAAGTAATTATATACTATTTAAAAGTTGCTCACACTTTGGACCGTGAATATATTTCTTTTTACAATCTGACACTCAATGCTACAGACAGAGGATATCCAAGAAAGACTGCTTTACAACATGCTTATATTGAAGTCTTGGATATAAATGACAATTCTCCTGAATTTTCCAGCAACATTTATACTGTCAAGATAAGTGAGAATTCCCCTAATGGTAGTTATGTGCTTAAGCTTAATGCATCAGATCCTGATGCTGGTAGCAATGGAACTGTATCATACTCAATCACCAGTGGAAATGACCTTGGATGGTTTCAAATTGATGATAAATCAGGACTTGTTACAACATCCATGCCTATTGACAGGGAAAGAATGTCATTAGTCTCCCTCACAGTGACAGCTCAAGATCATGGTCCCACACCAAACAGTAGAAGCACTTTACTAAAGATTGACATTGGTGATATCAATGATAATGTTCCTGTATTTGGGAAAAGTCTTTACACTAAAACAGTCTCAGAGGATACATCACAAGGCACCAGTATTTTAAAGATCACTGCTACTGATAAGGATTCTGGTGAAAATGCAAGAATAACTTATGCAATTGATTCAAACTTACAGCAGTTGAAAGAACATTTTATTTTGGAGCCTGGAAGTGGAATTTTGAAAACAAATGGAAATTTAAACCGTGAAGTCCAGAGTTCCTATACTATACCAGTGATAGCAAGGGATAATGGTAAGATCAAGTTAACATCTAAAGCTACAGTTATCGTACAAGTTTCTGACATCAATGACAATCATCCAATATTTTATCCTACTGTTTACTTTGTTACTGTTGTTGAAAATGGAAATCCTGCAAACCTTGTTCAAGTCACTGCCACAGATCAAGATCAAGGCTCAAATGCAAGGATTTTTTACTCCATTGAAAGTGGGAATGACAACAAAAGTTTTGCAATTGACACAAATACTGGTGTTATCAGGAACATAAATTCATTGGACCATGAAACGAGTGGATTTCATAGGCTGAACATCACTGCAAAAGATGGCGGAGGACTGTATGCATTAAAACCTGCAGTAGTAGAAATAACAGTTCTCAATCAGGCAGACAATCCTCCAAAGTTTGAACACTCAATTTACAATTTTTCTGTCTATGAAAATGTTCCCAAGGGAAGCCTCGTTGGGAATGTGTTTGCAACATCAAAAGACAAAAATGACACCATAACCTATGAGATAGTATCTGGAGATCCAATGCATTTATTTGTTGTGGATTCATTGGGTGGTATTATAATGGTCGATGGAGCTATTGACAGAGAAGTTCAATCTAAGTATTGGCTTGATGTTGTTGCCAAGATGGGACAATTACGACCATTGTCTGCCAAAACAAATGTCAATATTTCTGTGTTAGACAAGAATGACAATGCTCCTAGATTTTCATCTTCAAACATGGAAGTAAATATCCTGGGAACCTGGCCTGTTGGAACAGTAATATCAAATGAGACAGCAATAGATCAAGATGCTGGTACAAATGGCATGGTAAGATACAGACTGACTAAAAATGCTAATGGATTGTTTAAGATAAACACAACATCTGGTGTAGTGACATTAGCAAGAATAGTTTCAGAAAGTGATGACTTGCAGTATACTGTAAATATCTTTGCATCTGACTTAGGATCACCACAGTTACTCAGCAATATGGCAATACATGCAAATATATTCATTAACCATCCTCCAAGATTTCAAACCAGTTCATATTTAACACATGTACTTGCCTCAAGACCTCTGAGTTATCGCTTCTTGGTAGTTAATGCAGTTGATAATGATCCTGGTAAAAATGGACAGTTAACATACTCTATTGACCCACTGGGGAATCAAGAAGGATTGTTTGGAATTTTCCCTGATGGATTTATTTACATCAAGAAAAATCTTGTTCATGCCAAGAAAGGTTCTTATGATATTATGGTAAGAGCAACTGATAGTGGTACACCAAGTCTCGGTGCTTCTGCCAGCGTTACTATCTACATACAAGACTCAGATGAACACAGATCACTATTCACCAATAATACTTTTAGGTTTTCAGTATCAGAAAACCTTGTTCCTGGTACTCTAGTGGGTATTATTACTGCAAAAGCATCAGACAGTTCAAGGACAAAAGATATTATTTATTCATTAGACAGCAGTAATAATGCATTCGCTGTTGATGCAAGAAGTGGGCGAATCACAACGAGACTTGTGTTGGACAGAGAATCTCTTTTGAAAGCAACTGGTGGTAATAATTACATAACGAGAGCTGAAGCAGTATATAATGATACAACAGTCAGGCGTGACAGTGCTATAGTTATCATTACAGTTACTGATGTCAATGATAACCCTCCTCACTTTACAAGTGCTTTGTACAGTGTTAAAGTCAGTGAGGATTTAAGCCCTGGTTCAGTAGTGTTCAAAGCTGTAGCAGTTGACCCAGACAGCAGTGATTACTCAAAGTTTACTTATTCCATCATTAGTGGTACAGGGAATGGAGTCTTTAGCATCAATGCAGGAAATGGAGACTTGTACTTGAACAAAAAACTGGACAGAGAAGCATTAGATAGATATAACTTGACACTCGAAGCTAGAGATATTTTAGACAGTAATTTATCTTCTTATGCTTCGGTTGATATCACAGTTGAGGACTCGAATGATGAGAAGCCAGTATTCCAAAGCTTTTCAAACATCTTGACAGTTTCAGAACAACTAGAAATCGACTCCGAAATCATTAATATTAATGCCACAGATAAAGATATTGGCCTGAATGGACTTGTTGTGTATTCTATAACTTGTGGAAACTTGGCTGCAGTTTTTGACGTTGATCATTCAACTGGTAAAATCTTTCTTGCCAAAAGTCTTGATTATGAAAACACTTGGCAGTATGAGCTGTGTATCACCGCCCAAGATCAAGGTACCCATCCACTATCATCAACAGCAAACATTACTATACATGTTCTAGATGCAAATGATAATCCACCTGTCTTCACTACAAAGCCACAGCAAATCCAGATCATGGAAAATGTAACAAAAGGAACAGTAATTGGGTATTGCTCTGCCACAGATGCGGATAGTGGGACATATGGCCAGATAGTTTATGCCCTAGAAAAACAAACCCCAAAGGGTAATACCTTTAGAGTTGAACCAAATAACTGTACAATTTCAACTACAACATTGATTGACCGGGAAAAAATGCCAAATGGATTGAGTTTCTTTCAACTTGTTGTCATAGCAACAGACAAAGCTGTTCCTAAATCAGACTCCCTTTCATCAAGCAAGACAATCAAAGTTCAAGTGGTCGATATCAATGATAATAAGCCAAGGTTTATCTCTCCATCAGCTGCAGTTGTAGGTGCAAGTAAATTCATAATGAACGTAAAGGCAGAGGACTTGGATACTGGATCCAATGGCATGGTTACCTATTCACTCATCAGTGGTAATTCTGACAACAAATTTTACTTAAATACCAGTACGGGACAGCTTGAGAAAAATACTCCTCAGCTCAATGGCAATAATCTGATTTATAAACTGACTATTAAAGCAGAAGATGGTGGAAAACCTGCTCTTTCTGTTCAAACTGAAATTTCTTTACTTAAAGCAGGTACTGCAGGAAGTGGACCTGTGTTCAGTAATTCCACATTCTTAGGTTCCATTACAGAGAATGAACCCGTAGGTACATCAGTTACCCAGGTTCGTGCAGCTTACTCGCAAGATCACTTGAATGGCAACATTAAGTATTATATAACATCTGATGACAGTAAAGGAACATTCAGTTTGAATGACACCACTGGCCTCATAACGACTAAATTGCCAGTTGACCGAGAGAGCCTGGGAGCCGTCTCCAAGCTTGTGGTCTATGCTGTTGACATGAATGGACCGCAACCTAAAACAGCATCTGCTAATGTTGTCATTACAATACATGACATCAATGATAATGAGCCAGAATTCTCTAGCGACAAGTACTTTGCTGACGTCAGTGAAAACAGCTCACCAGGAACAAGTGTAATAACCTTGACCGCGTCAGATAATGACGAGGAAGAAAACAAAAGAATCGAATACTTCATTACTGGAGGTAACAATGAAAATAAATTTGTGATTGACAGCGTAAGCGGTAAAATTTCTACTCGAGGAGAACTAGATCGTGAAAGTAAATCACAGTATGCTATCAATGTTACTGCCCGTGACTATGGCAACCCTTCAAAGTACTCAACCTGTGTCGTCATAGCAACCGTAACGGATGTCAACGACAACTCCCCAGTATTTACAAGAAGCTATTACTCGTTTAGCATTTCAGAGGAAGTGTCAGTTAGGACAGCTGTTGGTTCTGTTAAAGCTATAGATCAGGATTCTGGTGACAATGGCCGACTAACCTATACCATCTTAGGGCTAGACAAGGAGGTATTTGCAGTTAACCCAAGCTCTGGTGTACTAACGTTACGTCAAAAGCTTGATCGAGAAGCTGTCGAGTATTATGTTCTGAATATAACAGCTACAGACAATGGACACTTTAATAAGTACTCTGCCTCGGTGAGTGTGTACGTCAATGTGTTGGACGTCAATGATAATCCACCAGAATTTGACCAGGCTTTCTATCATGGAGAGGTCAAGGAAGATGCTCCTCTACTTACACATGTTACTTTTGTCGTGGCTCGTGATGAGGACTCGGGCACCAATGGTCAGATCAAGTACAGTATTACCTCTGGTAACGCACGTGACTCATTTGGTATTCTGGATAATGGAACGATTGTTAACACTAAGGTATTAGACAGGGAGTCTACAGATAAATATGTATTAACCATTGAAGCCACAGACCAGTCTATGCCTCCTTCAAGTCGACTAAAGGGAAAAGCTCGGGTTACCATCAATGTTACCGACGTTAATGATAACAGACCTCATTTTACCTCGGCTTCAGTGGCGCACGTACAAGAAAATGTTGGTGTGAATGATGTGGTATTAACTGTCATTGCTGTTGATCCAGACAGAGGTTCTAATAGTGAACTGACGTACACCCTCACCAAGATTGACCTTGGAGCACCGTTCATCCTCGGCACTAGCGACGGGGTTCTACGCGTCTCTGGGGGCTTGGATCGAGAAAACAAAAAGAACTACACCCTGAAAGTTACCGCCACAGACAAAGGAAACCCATCCTTGTCATCTGACATGAAGATTGTCATCGTCGTTGATGACTTTAACGATCATGCTCCTGTCTTTCGCAGTCATTCAAGTGAATTTCGAATCTTCGAGAACGTTCCTGCTGGAACTAATATTGTCAAGTTATCAGCAGTAGACGAAGACTATGGCACAAATGCTGAAGTGCGGTATGACATCATAACAGGTAACGGTAATGGATCGTTTTCAATCAATCAAATTACAGGAAAACTGAGAACAGCAAAAACATTGGACAAAGAAACCGAACCCATATATATTCTGAAGATCAGAGCATACGACTTGGGTGTACCTCGCAAAGAAAGTGTGACAACTGTTACTATAGTATTGCGTGACATCAACGATAATGAACCTGTATTCACAAAATCAACTTACGTGACCGATGTTAGTGAAAATAAAGTAGATTCTAGTTTATTGACTGTTATCGCTGAGGACCATGATGATGGCAAAGATGGAGAGGTGACTTACAGTATCATCAGTGGTAGTAGTGGAGGTGTCTTTGTTATTGATTCACGTACCGGAACCATTGCACTAACCACAGCATTAGACAGAGAAAAGAAGCAAAGATATGTCTTGGTTGTTGAAGCTAGAGATGGTGGAGTTCCACAGCGCTCTACGACTTCAACTGTGGTGGTAAACGTGGCTGATGAAAACGATAATTCACCTGTATTTCAACAGAAGACCTACAATGCCAAAGTCAAGGAGGGCGAAGCGAGTGGATCATTCGTTATTCAAGTTACGGCTGTGGATAGTGACGCTGGAAACAATGGAAATATTATGTACTCTCTAGTGAACAACTTTGGACGGTTTAGAATTGATAGCAAGAGTGGTGTGATTGTGACTGACATTGCGTTGGATAGAGAACAAATCAATTATCATCCCCTGGAAGTCGTAGCAACAGACGCGGGTAATCCTTCACGACAGGAAACAGCGAATGTTAATGTTATCATTGAAGATGTGAACGACCACGACCCTGAGTTTGAAAATTCATTATTGAAGGCTGCAGTTCAAGAGAATGCATCTCCTGATACCATCGTGCTGGTCGTTTCAGCAAATGATAAAGACACGGGGCTGAACGCAAAGTCTGACTACATCATCACATCCGGTAATGATAATGCGCTGTTCAGTATTGGGAAAGAAAGTGGAGTCATAGCAGTCGTCAAGCAAGTTCCTGCAAGTCCTTCGTCTTATACTCTTCAAATCAAAGCTGCAAATTGCAAAGCCCCTCAGCGAACTGCTACCGCAACAGTGCAAATCTCGGTGAGCACAGGCTCCTTCCCAAGCTTTCTTCACAAAGAGCAAAAAGTAAATGTATCTGAGCTTTTACCGTTGGGAACTACCTTACTTACAGTGAATGCCACAGGTCACACTGCATATTTCATCGCTGGTGGTAATGATGGAGATGTTTTCAGCATTGATGCTGTTTATGGTATCCTAACTATAAAGAACAGCCTGGATTACGAACAGATAACTAATTATACTCTCGTCATAGGAGCTAAAGACGGAAGTGATCCCCCTCATGTTGCTTTTATTCAAGTTTTTATTAGTGTCATCGATGAAAACGATAACGCACCTGTTTTCAGCCAAAATGTGTACACTGCTAGTATTTCAGAGGATATGCCTATCAACTCGTCAGTTTTGACTGTCAAGGCAGTCGATGCTGACTCAGGATTTAATGCTAAAATCGAATATTCGATAAGCTCACAGGGTGGGCCATCTGCGGCATTTGGAATAATTTCCAACACAGGACGCCTATTCACCAAACAGGTCTTGGATCGAGAAAACCAAACCACTTACTCTTTGAAGATACGTGCAGAAAATATTAATAATCGATCTATGGCTAGTGAGGCTGCAATCATAGTAGTAGTAATTGACATTAATGATAACTATCCGGTGTTCGTGGACCCGACGACTGTCTTGATACCCGAGGATGCTGCAGTAGGAACACTCGTGACGACTATCAAAGCCAATGATGCAGATGAGGACCATGTGCTTCGCTATGGATTCCTGACGAATTCCAACAGAAATGGAGTATTTGTAATGGATGTGCACAATGGAAACATCTCTCTCGCCAAACATCTTGACCGCGAGACACAACAGATGTACAGCCTGGGTATATCAGTCAATGACTCCAAACATCAATCAATATCTTACCTTAACATTACTGTGTTAGACGTTAATGACAACGCCCCAAACTTTAGTAACATGTCCTACTATATATCCATGCCTGAAGACTCTCAATTGGGTTCAGCGGTTATGAATGTGAAAGCCACTGATGCTGATATTGGAACCAATGCAATGATCACCTACTCGATAATATCACTACAACACACAAGTTATTTCCACATCGATACTCAGACTGGGACCATTCATCTCAACAAGGCTGTGCAGTACAAGATAAATGATACGAACGTGTATGATCTAACAGTAAGAGCCAAGAATATTTATCCTCCATATCAAGAAAGCGATGTCAAGGTAGGCATCGAAGTACTGGACACTAATGACCATGCACCAGTCTTCACCAAGGCTTCTTATAGCTTCATTGCCGTAATAGATTCCAGCGGTATCGGCTCTAGTGTAGGTGCTGTAGTAGCGTATGACAAGCTAGACTATGGACCAAATGCTGTTATCCGTTACGAGGTGACTTCTGGTAACGGCTCATCAAAGTTCCAAGTTGTTCCTGATACTGGGGACATCAGAGTGAAAAGTGACCTAACTAGTGATGCCAATAAAATGTACTGTGTGTATGTGAAGGCTAAGGACTTAGGTCGTCCCAGCATGGAATCTGCTGTACAAGTATGTATAGATGTAACAAAACCCAATTTATATGCTCCAAAGTTTGGGCTTGGTGTCTATCAAGATACTGCTAAAGAAGACACGCCCTTAGGAAGTGTAGTGCTATCAGTCACAGCTACAGATGATGATCCAGGAAGAAACGGGGAAATCTTCTTTTCTATACAATCTGGAAACCAGAAGGAATATTTTGGTATTGGCGTCACCAATGGATCCATTTATGTGGCAAAGCCATTAGATTATGAGGCAAGCCCAAAGTACATCCTGAACGTAACGGCAACTGATGGGGCTAAGTTTTCGAAAACAAGCTTCGTGTCAGCAGAAATAACTCTTATTGACATCAATGACAACAACCCTGTATTCGATTCCCAGTTTTACCAATGCCAACTACCAGAAAACACACCAGTAATGTCTACACTTGTCTGCAAGGTTCACGCAACAGATCCTGACCAACAGGGCAAACAAGAAATAAGGTACTACATTGCTGGAGGCGATGGACAAGCAGACTTCAAGATCAATGAAGTATCTGGAGAAATCCATGCAACTACCATGTTCGACTTCGAATCCACTGGTAAGAGTTTGCTTGTGGTTGGAGCAAAGGATCTTAATTTAGCGCCTCAACGGTTTGCGAGACCAAGGGCAAGTGTCCATATCTCTATCACTGGTAAAAACGAGTTTGTTCCAGTTTTTGTGAGAGATTTCTTTGAAGGAACAGTCGCTGAAAACGCTCCTATAGGATACTCGGTTCTGGAGGTATCCGCTACTGACAAAGACGCGGGACCCGATGGCGTTGTCCTTTATCATCTGTTGGGTGCAGATAACTACAAAGGATTCACCTTGAATTCAGAAACAGGAGTTCTTAGTATTTCAGGAAAGCTAGACAGCGAGAAATCTAGCAAAGTCTCGCTCAAAGTCATTGCTAAGAACCTGTTACAGACGGATGTCACACCAGGTACAGTTGGTCACGCAACGATTATCGTTACTGTAACTGATGCTAATGATCCTCCAAAGTTTTTGAAGAGTGTCTACAATGCCAGGCTAGTCGAGAGTGCAAATAGAGGAACTTATGTGACGAACGTGACAGCTGTAGATGACGACCAAGAAAGAGGTGTAAGATCCTTGATTCGATACGGGATTAGCGCTGGGAATACCAACCAGGTATTTACAATAGACTCTTTATCTGGCGTAATAGCATCTGCTGGAGATTTGGACAGAGAAACTGTGCCAGTTTACACGCTTAAAGTCACGGCTACAGACAATGGGACACCACCCATGACAGGTAACGCAACGGTAATAGTAACACTAGATGATATCAATGACAACCCACCAGTACTCTCTCCTGGGGATCGTGTTGCTTCTGTTCTGGAGAATCAAGCTGCTGGCACCAGTATCATTACCCTGAGTGCTGTAGATCCCGATGCAGACCCAAATAGAGGCCCCTATAAGTTCGACATTTCTGTTACTAATTACGGAAAGTTTCAGTTAGACCAAAGTTCTGGTTTGTTAAGAACAACTAGTTCACTGGATCGAGAGTCTAGAGATACTTATAACTTGTCTATCAAAGTGACTGACAGTGGCGGGCTCTCTGCTATATCGTACTGCCTTATTACTGTCACAGACCAGAATGACAATCGACCCACAGCTACAACACGTGACGTGCAGGTGAACACTTACAACAAGCGCTTCCCGGGTGGCTCTATTGCCGATGTGAGACCAGAGGACCCGGATGTTGATGACGTCATGACATGTGGTTTGATAAGATCTTCCAGTAATATGTTTAGTTTTCCACGTGGGGATTGTATGTTGAGCTCATTAGCAAATACTGGCGATGGTTTGTACCAGTTGACCATCAATGGATCAGATGGCATAGGGTCTGTTCAGTACCAAGTGAATGTAAAGTTTACTGGTTACACTACGGATACCGTCAAAGAAAGCGTAGCAGTGCGCCTACAGAACACCACACCCAAGACCTTCTTGAGTCAGTCTTTTATCAGGTTTATCCATTCAGTTGAGAATATCTTTCCTCAGGGATTCATATCTCAAGTCATTAGCGTCAAGGAGTTTGATCAAGGCTTCGTAGATATCCTGATTGCATCGCGTAAATCAAACACAATTACTTATTTGGAAAGAGAGAAACTCGCCGACCTCTTAAAGAACAACGAGAACAAACTTCAAACAGAAGCAGGAGTGACGATCTTCAAGGTAGATTACACTCCTTGTTCGACGAATAGTCCATGTCTGAATGGAGGAGAATGTAGCAGTGAGATTCAAGCTACTGGTAACACCTTTGCCGTAAATACTATTCCTCTGGTCTTCTTGTCGGCTGACTTCGCCTGGCGTTACACATGCAGGTAAGAATGCATAGATATTATTAAATATTATTAATACCTTAGATATTATGATACTATATTGTTACGTTTTTAACTTYCTTTAATCGTTTAAATTCCTAGTACTAAGATTCGAATGCGTGCCATATAAGTTTGATAAGATATTTTCAAGACTCTTAACCACCCCTACTCTTCACTGTTTACTTTCCAGATGTAAACCAGGATTTACTGGAAGCAAATGCGAACAAAACATGAATGACTGTGATCCTAACCCCTGCCAACATGGTGGCTCATGTCTAAAGAATCAGAACACTTTCAAATGTGTTTGTCCAGGAGGATACACTGGGAGCCTATGTGAGAAAGATATTGATGAATGTCAATCAAAACCATGTCAGCACTCAACTGGTTGCCAGAACATTCCTGGTAGTTACATATGTCAATGTATACTTGGCTATACTGGCAAGACGTGTGATGTAGATATTGATTATTGTCAAGCCTCACCTTGCATGTATAACTCAACCTGCGTAGATCGACCTACTTCGTTTAAATGCATCTGTGACTTCGGTGGGCGTGGTGACCGCTGTCAATACTCCAGCCTTGGGTTTGCTGTCGTATCATACATGAAGTTCCCTAGCATTCGAAGCAACAACCAAGATACGTATAACAACATCAGCCTCGTATTCTCTACTTCCACTCCTGATGGCTTACTTCTTTATAACAATGATGGCACTACCGATATGGATGGCGACTTCATTTCACTAGAGATCGTCCAAGGAAAAATCCGCTTCTCTTACAATCTTGGCTTCACTCCAACTCCTGCTGTTGTTGTAGTCGACAAAGTGGTCAATGACGGCAAATGGCATCACGTGATGGTAATAAGGGACAAAAAGGTAATGTATTAACCATTATTATGTTTTGCAGTACACACTCTTGATCATCAAAACCTTTTTATGTGATAACATCCCCATTTTATGCTTGCTTATTGTTCAGACTGCGCAAGTTGAAGTTGATTCAATATTCAGAGGCTCAGGATCAGTAACTGGAGATTTCATGTGAGTACTTTACATCTCTTAAAGGTATAGCAAAGTCACGTGACCCTACCCCTCCCCTTCCCCCCCCC